TAGACAATTCCAAAAAAATGATTGCCACGTTTTTATTCCCAAAATATGACTAATTATTGTCATGTTTTGGCAGTATCATACTTTAAACATGACAGTATTTTCCAAACATGACAGTAACTACTCCTATTTTGAAAATAAAAACCATAACATTTTTATTTTGGAATTTTCAAACGGTTTTAGTCCTATTTCGAGAACTTTCCCTATCTTAAATCATTATATTTTAGATCGATTGTTTTCAAATTCCAAACAAGGAATCTAATGGGACTACAAAATAATTTTTAGCTATAAAAGTACGTACCATGAGCCTCGTCTTTCCCTTCAGATTTCTAAATATTAACGTGTACAATTATAAGTGTATATAACGTAACACACAAAGTTTAAAGGAAAAATTGATAGTAATAATCCAATTATTGGCGGTTCGCTCATAATAATCTCAACTATTGATTATTTCATAATAATCCCAACTATAGGGACCTTCCGCCAATAATGGTCCCTATAAATAAATTCTTGTAGTTTCTAAAGTGAATGAGAAGAGATATACGTAGTAGTAAGTAATCCCTATAAATAATCTCAACTTTTAATTTTTACGCTTAATTTCTATTTAAAAATCACTTATTATAGGAGGTAATATATGATCATGGACCATTATTGATGGACGGTCCATATAGTTGGGGTTATACAAAAATAATCAATAGTTGGGATTATTATCAGCGGACCGGCAATAGTTGGAATTATTATTTTCAATTTTTCCAAGTTTTAAAAGGAATCAACAATTTTGACAAATTAGTACTATTAAGAGCGTCTTCAAAGTTCCTTTTAAGAACTTGCTTGCAATTTGAAACCTAATAGTTTACCATTTAAGGGTTGTTTTTTCTTTTGATTGAAAACACTAATTAACCAAAATGAGCTACTAATTTGAGCAAAAAAATTAATAAAAATAACATTATTAATAATAACGAAGATGAAAAAGTTATAACTACCCATTTGAATAAATTTTAATTTTGCTGCAAATGTTTATCTTTTGGGATTAAGGCTTGGATGTTGTCGTTGTTGCAAATGTTTATATAATTAGTCAAGCTATGAGCATAATTAGCTAACCCTTGAAGATGCTCTAAATGAGTTCTAATAATTAGACAATACAATCCGGAACTGAAATTTGTAAAACTGGACCCGAACTAATAACTGATTAAAGTAAATTTGGTTGGCAAAAAGAGTTGAATTGAACATGAAATTATATTAGAAGGCATATTTCATAATTGGAGAATAATATTTATTCAAAATGATTTTATATATTTTACTAGATAATAAATACTCCATATTAGACTATTAGACTATTAGAGCGTTAATTTTTTTTAGAGAAAAATGTCAAATGAGGCTTTCTACAATTATGAAATAGTCACATAAGGCCATGTACTCAATAAAGTGTCATATAAGTACATCTACTTGTAAAAAACAATCAAATGAGTCCTAACGATCTATTTACAACCTCCTAATCTCAGTTTTAGCTTACATGTCGATTTTTTTTTTCTTGCATTTCAACCAATCTTAGTTAAATATTGGGAAATTATCACCTACCTCCCTTGAGGTTTCACGTATTATCATCTAGACCCCTGTACTATTAAAAATATACTTTTACCCCCTTCTTATCCTTTAATTATAGTTTAAATAACTCATAATCATGTTTAGCAACATTATAGATTTAATCTTGTAAATTTACTCACTTGCATATCTGATCTGGTAACAAATAAATTTATCTGGATTAAGAATCTTTCCACAAGAAAGTACACTTTGTGGAGAAAAAATTAGCACATGCAGTCTTTCTAAAACATTTAAAAATTTATCCGCACATATAATCTTGTATTAAAATTTTTTAAAATTTGAATGAACGCTATTTATAATTACAATTTAGCAAAACTTTTGGGATATTATTTTATACATGAAACAGATGTTGGTGAATGATTTTTATAGGAAATTAAATACTTACTTGAATGATTTAGACCATGTCCGAAAGATCATCCACCAACATCTGTTTTAGGTATAAATAATATTTCAAAAGTTTAGCTAAACTGTAATGCTAAACAACGTTAGTTCATTCAAACTTTACAAATTTTTTTATTATATCTAAAATATATTAGTGGATACTTTAATTTTAAGAAAACTGCTAAAGCTAATAATCTTTTTTCACGTGAGAAAAAAATCTCTAACATGAGATGTATATTCCACCAATATTTCTACAATCGCATGGATATTTTTGAACTCTTAAATTAATAGAGATTTATTGTTTTATGCACATATTTTTTGATTGTGTCCGCTGTTAGTCCGATAAATTTACTTTCATATAGATGTAGTTCTATAACTAATAAATATGTCTATATTAAGGACTGTTTCATCGGAAAGAACATATTCTGGAAAAAAATAACATACGGAGGACTAGAAAAGACGCTATCAAATTTTTCATCACAAAGTGTACTCCCTGGTGAAAAAATCTGTAATGTGGATAAATTTATATGTTACCGTATCAAATCTGCAACTGAGTAAATTTATATGATTCAATCTATAATTTTGCTAAACATAATTAAGAGTTATTAAACTCTCATTAAAGGATAGGGAGGGGGGTGAGGTTATATTTTTAATAGTGCAGGGGTCTAAATGATAATGTATGAAACCTCAAGGGAGGTCAGTGATAATTTCCCTTAAATATTCGACGTATGCCGTATAATCTATTCTAAAAAGATGGTCAGAAGTACGCTAAAACTGAGATTAGGAGGTGTTAAATAGGTCATTAGGACCCATTTGATTGCTTTTTACAAGTAGAGGTACTTATGTGACACTTTATTGAGTAAATAACCTTATGTGACTATTTCATAATTGTAGAAGGCCTTATTTGACCCTTTTCTCATTTTTTTAACAAACAAAGACTGTGTTTATGATGTTGTTACTTGGACTTATTTAAGTCCCAGATCAAACCACATCAAACTAAATTAGACTCCGACATTTGTAAAATGCATAGGGATTAGACATTTACAGATCAGATCACGCTAGATCATAAAATGTAGTTCAAAGAAAAAACATACGGAGTATTGACTATTTAATGAGAAGCATTGTGGTGCAATGGTAAAAGCGTGAAGGTACTGCCAAACACACGCAGCCACGCAGGCAGGGGCGGATCCAGGATTTAATGTTGGGCTGGGCTGAAAATTTTAACTGATAATACATTGATTTTTTTTTCAAAATAAGTGAAAAATCAAATATAAAAGTTATCCCCTAAATTTGTTCTAGACAAGGCTTTGAAACAAAAAACTCATCAACAATAGAGTCTACATCTATACTGAGAGTAATATCTTTTTCAATGTAAAGTGTCATGCAATCAGCAAGAAAACTATCATCCATTTTATTGCAGAGTGTTGCCTTTAGAAGTTTCACGACAGAAACTGATCATTCTATCTACTGTTGCAGTAGAAACAATAAGACCAATATGAAGTGAATCAATCTAGTCATCTTAACATATGAATCACACCTTTTGCTTTTAGTTAATTCCTCACATAATTCAACAAGTGTAGATACTTGAAACTTGATATCATGAATCACATCATGAACATAGTGTTGCAGCTCGAATTTCAAAGCACGAATGTCCTGACTACTAAAATCTTCGGGATAAAACTTCCTTACAGAGTACAAATAGCATCGACAGTGAACGACTCATATGAATTTTTTGGATCAAATGAAACACTCAAAGAAAGGAGTTCCACTGATTTATCATTAAACTGGGTCGTTAACTCCATGAATAAAAGTATATTACCTCATTGAAAACATCAAAGTAATAATGATTCTCAATTGTAGTTTCTTTTCAGCAATGACCAACCATATATTTAGAAATTAGAATTCAAGTCTGGTGCATGGATTTATTTTTGAGAAAAACTCATTTACTTCTTCAAGAAAACATTTCCATCTATGAGTTTTGTTAGGTGTGCACAAAATGTGTACACAAAACGTGTACACATGTCCGTCCTTCATAGAAATTTTGTCCCAAGCGTGAAAAATGTCTATATACACTACAAACTAAAGTAAATCGAACACAAATTCAAAACATGAAAAATGTCTATATACACTACAAACTTTTGCCCAAGAACTCACTTTTGGGCAATTAATGTTGTTGAAGATACTCAAACACTTTACAAGTTCATGTGAACATGCTAATCAAGTTCTTAATTGAATCATATTTTATTGTATTTATTACATTGATGCTTTGTGGGCTTTATGGCCATTATACGTATAAATTAAGTGCCACTTATTAAGTGGGAGGTGATGTGTATAACATTTATATTAGATTTTTATATGGTAAGATTTTGTTTTATAGACTAGGCTGAAAAATTGGACTGGGCTATACAAAAACTCGGGGTGGGCTAGATGGAATTATGTCAAAATAATACCTTAAAAAAATTATTTTTTTTTTGCTTTGCCCTGGGCTTCAGCCCACCATAGCCCTAACATAGATCCTCCCCTTCACGCAGGACAATATGGGAAGCATGATTGTCGTCTGAATGAAACGTTAGCTCAATAATGCTTGATGACCCATTTTTATACTCACCTTATATCCCATGTTTGTGAAGTTTTTTTTCTGTGAATATGACTCACAGACAATATTTTGTTTGCGCAAAATATTGTCTGTGAATCGGAGTTCATAGACAAAAAAACCACTCCACTTACATAGGTGGGTACAAACGTGGGTATAAGAGTGAGTACAAAGATCATTTTTGAATGACTTAACGTTTCAATTCAACTCATGCATTTTTATTTAAGCTTATTTAAGCGTGACTATTCCTTTTTTTTGCTATAACATGCCAAATCTATTTGAGAGATTAGTATGGGAGAAAAGGAGTAGAAAGCTAAAAAATGAAGCAAATGAAAGTATGGAACTGCTTCCCGCATTCTCAGGTGCTCTCTTCAACCAAATTATTTATTGAAAGCTCCACATTTTATGAGGACAAATAGAGAAAAAAGGGGGAGAGAGAGAAAGGGAAAGAGGAACAGAAGATCCTTTTTCTTCTTGGCTCTGATCGATCTTCTCAGTTAATTTCAAAGAGAAACATAATGGGCGAAAGGAACGCGCCGCTGCCAAAGTTCGGAGAATGGGACGTCAAGAACCCGGCCGCCGCAACGGAATTTTCCGTCATATTCGACAAGGCACGGAACGCAAAGAGAGATGGCATCCGGCCACCGTCCGCCACCCGCCGTGACCAGCTGGACTCCCCTGTAAGGAAGGACTCACGGCCAGGCAACGCCGCCAAGACGTCCCTTAATAAAGCCGATGGCCACCTCGTCCGGCTGGGGAAACCTCTTGCCGGCCGTAAATGGCTCTGCTGCGTCGGTGGGAGGCACGACGACTAATACATGGAGAAGACCGGGCCGGTCCGGCCCGGCCATTAATTGTGCAGCACACCAAAACTCCTCATTTTGATCACATTCTGAGCTGCTAGACTAACATTCTATGATCCAGGGAATACTTTTACCTCCTTCCTATTTCTGAGTCTAATTTTTATTACTACGTAATAGATAATTAAATTTATTAATCATCAAATCTTTTACTTTTCTTATTTAAATACATATGGGTTACTTTTTCCTCATTTTCTTTCTTCTTATTTAATCATTGTTGTGTGAGCTAGTATCCTTCTCTTTTGGCAAATTGCATGCCAGATGGAATTTGACTATTCTTAGATTAGATTGTTTTTATTGTTATGTACTAGTAGTATTAAACTGCACTAGATATTACTACGTAATTGACATTATTTTAGTTCAAAGTTTGGAGATCTATATTCCAACTATTTGGAGACGCTAAGATTTGGGGAGTGCAATTTTGTTCACCCCTCCTTGGAGGGTGAACATCACCCCCATGGAGGGTGAACATCACCCCCATAGCTCAAATGTTGCCATTTGGCATTTCAATTTTTTTCGTCACATGACAAGCAAATAGGGAGGGGGTTATATTCACCCTCTAAGGGTCTGTTTGCAACAGCTTCTGCTTTTAAAAAAGTGCATTTTTTAATGAAATGGGGAAAAGTGATTAAATAAAAGTTGATAGTGTTTGAGAAAAAAGTGATTTTGAAAAGTAAAAGTGGATAGTGTTTGGTAAAATAAGTGCTTTTTGTGTAATAGAAAAAGTAAAAGCACTTTTGACGCGGAAGCCGAGAAAAATAAAAGTTGTAGTGTTTGGGAAAATAAGTGCTTTTTTAAAGCCAAAAGCTGAGAAGTGCTTTTTTAAAAGCAGTTGCAAACCAACCCTAAGGAGGGGTGAACAAAATTGCACTCAGATTTGGGGCCCTTGCTTTTAATGAATATGAATGTACAGATACTACTATGAATATAGAAATAGAAAACTACTGCGAATAATGAAACGTAATACTATCGTATTTTGGTCCGAGGTATTTACCTAGGAGCAAATCCATCTTTAATTGCTAAATCAGGAGTAAAATTTAAAATTTCCCCAAATAGAAGTTATTATATGTAGTTGGACAGATAAACCCACTAAACATGCAAAAACAAGCTGGCGCTGACAAATCCCAGACCCGTCGCCGGTCACCGCCAGCCGCCGGCCGCCATAACCACAGCAGAACTGGTCGCCTCTAAAGATATGGCCGTTACTGCTATAGATTTGATAGTTTTCTCTGCAGATCTGACTGCCAACTCCGTGGATCTGGCCGGATTTGGGCGCACCGGCCGTCTTCCGCCGCCCTTGAAGATTTGGCTGCCGCCACTGCAGAACCGACCTCCTCCGTTGCATATTAAGACCCCTCCGTCGCAGATCTGACCGATCTCGTCGCTTCTGCCAATATTTTCATTAGAATGCCATATGAATGGCATTTTTAGAGGAAAATATGAAATTTGTGAAGTGTAAGAATGCCATTGTTATGGCATTTTCAGATTAAATTTCGAATTTGTAATCAGCCAAATTAGAAACAGAGCTTGAAAAGATGAAATGGAAGAGAGGTGCTTAGAAGAGGAAACAAGATGACCTTTTCCGCTGGGCAGGTCTGTTCTCCGTTCCCTGCCTTTGTAAAGCTCACTTGTGGTAGGCGCTGCAGCTGCACAGATCGGAATACTGGGAGTCATCGGCCAAATTTAAACAAGGGATCCGCTGGGCAGCAAGAAATAGGGCTTTGGGGTTTGGGTGGTGCGAACAATTTATTAAGGGTAAAATAGGAATAGAACTTAAATTTAGTCTCATTTATGCCTAAAAATTATTGAAGTCCTACGGATGCATATTCCGTGTTTTTTAGTCCCATTTACAACCAATTTGTCTTTTGGTCCTTGGTATAAAACTTTTTAGCTTCAACTCTAATTTTTTGGATACATCGGAAGTGAAAAAAAACATTAATATCTAGTACGCTCGAAACCGTTAGCATCCTCAAGAAGTAGGGTCTTAATCCAGATTAGTGCTTCTTGAAGTATTGAGAGTACCTTGTCTGACTCGTGAGCGGCATTGGCAAGTGAATCCACACAAGTATTTCCTTCGCAAAAAGTGTGTTGAAATTTGATAAATCTTTCATCTGCAAGAAGCTTTCGGCAGTCCCGAACCAACACTCCTTAATTGTTGTTGAAAATATTTGTGTTTTTAACAACTTTTAGCATACTCTCAAAATCAACTTTCACAACTCTATTGATATTGAGATCACGAGCTAACAATAAACCATGTTTTAGAGCCCAAAGTTCTGATTTAAAACTATCAGTTTTCCCAATATTTAGTATAAAGGCACTCACTCATTCACCTTTGTGGTTGTGTATCAGTCCAGCGGCCCCAGCTTCGTTTACCCTTCCCCGGCTAGACTCATCACAATTAAGGTTGAAGGAACCCGGTTCCGGGGAATCCATTTAATAATTTTAGCCTCCTTTTGTTTCTTGATATTATTGAATAGCTTCAACTCTAATACTTGTACGGAGTATAAATTTTCTTGCTTTCCCACTGAATTTAGTGCTGGACTCGGGCCGGGCGGCCCGAACCGGAACCGGCCTGGCCCGGTTACTGTGTGAACCGGCCCGGCCCGGTGGCCCGGTCCACCGGCGGTTCGGGTCGAACCGGCCCGGTGGATACCGGTTCCGGGCCCGGGCCCTCTATTTGGTGAACCGGCCCGGCCGGTTCGGGCCCGGTCCGGGCCGGAATAATTTTTTTTTTAATTTTTTTTGAAATTTTTTTAATCTTTGGGTTGGATTAGGTATTTTGGGCCATTTGAGGTGGTTTGGGGTTGAGGGGGAGGGGTAGGGGGTTAAATAAGAGAAGCCAAAAAATCAAAAAAAAAGGGGCGGGTGAACCGGCCCAGAACCGGCCCGGTCTGGCCCGGAACCGGTCACCTGCCGGTTCGGGCCCGGGCCCTCCTTTTGGTGAACCGAGGCCCGGCCGGTTCAAGGCCCGAACCGGGCCCGGCCCGAACCGAGTCCAGCCCTAACTGAATTACGGGTTTCAGCGGAACCAATCTCACACAATTACTCTGTAATTGTTAAATAAAATATTTTTAATTCGTTTCAATGTGGTATAACAAGTTTTAAATTCAACTAGTATCGTATTCATGTATGTATTTCAGTATTTGTATTCGATCATGATCAGATTAAATACAATAATAAAGAGAAATTAAAATTTGTCATTATTTCAAAATTGGGTACAATAACTGAGTACTGTGAGGTATAAGCTCATATAATAAATACTAAGAGTAAAATAATAGTCTCTCCGCTGCATTTAAAGGTTCTCACGCGGTTTATGATGTTTAATTGACCATAAAGTTAACTGATTCCTGTCATCAGTAGAATTACTTTTAGTAAATAAAATTTACATATTCAGAAACTACATTAAAAATCATTTAATGCCTAATCAAAAAAATAAATTTGATAAAAGTTGTATATATAAAGTAAAAATTAAGAACAATGCACATTTTACCGGAGAATAATGGACGAGAATCTTTAAATGGGACGGAGGGAGTATTAGATAAAAATAATTAACACCATTCATTATATTTCCCCCCTTCTTGGATAGTATTGTCCGGTAAGGGTGGACTCAGGTCGGGCCGCCCGGCCCGGAATCGGCCCGGCCCGGTACTGTTTGGGCTCGGCCTGGTACCCGGTCATAGGACCATGTACTCCGGGCCACCCGAACTGGGAATTAAAAGGGGCGGGCTCGGGCACCTAAAAGTGGAACCGGCCGGGCCGGGCCTATTTCTTTTTCTTTCAATTTTTTTTTGTTTCTACCGGGTTGGGCTGGCTGTTTTTTTTTTGGGGGTTGGGGGGGTTGGGGTGGGGGGTGAGGGGGGGGGGGGGGGTCGGGGTTAATAAGAAAAGCAAAAGAAAATTAAAAAAAGAAAGAAAGAAATAAATAACTTTGAACCGGCCCGGAACCGCTGCCTACCCGGGCCGGTTCCGGTTCTCTCTTTAAAAAAAAAAGCCCAGTCGGGCCCATGCCCGAACTGGCCCGACCCGGCCCGGCCCGGCCCGGGTCCATTCCTAATTGTCGGTAATATATAATAAAAGGGAAAAGGTACAATTATACCCCTATAATATATAATAAAAGGGAAAAGGTACCAATATACCCCTATAGACTATAGTATGGGGTTGAGAATACATATACTATTATTCTATTTTTTGGAACAAATATACCTCAGTAGTATATGTTGAATGCATATATATATATCTATGAACTTTTCAAAAGTGAAAAAAATACCCCTCATGTTCTTATAAAGAAATAAATTTATCCTTGTTGATTTTAAATAGATAAAATAGATTTCAAAAACACCAAAAATAAATTATAACTTCAAGATTTAAAAATAAAGATCTATTATTATGTTAAAATATTAAATCTTCAACTTTATATTGCAAAATTATTATTTTACCGTTTTAAATGAAGCACTTCAAATTCATAAATATTAATTTTAGTCTTGTTGTTAAATTTTGAACACATTTTTACATTTTTTAAAGAAAAATATTCTTTGATTTTGTTTACACTTAATAAAATTCAATTCATTATTTTGTATTTTATTTTTTTTATTTTTTTAGAATAAAAGTACTAAATCAAGGGAAAAGCAGTACAAAAAGAAAGAAAAGAAAAAAAGCTAATCCCATGGGAAATCTCGGGATTGGGGCCTAGTTGTCATGGTGTGACGCCGCTTGTTCTTTTGAGATTTCCTGTAGATCTTTAGCTGCGTGTTTAAGTTGTCGGTCGGCAGACAATTTTCTGTGGTTATGAAATTAGCTTTGCGACAAATCGCGGTATTGAACTTGGATTTTCTAATTTCTTCCGGGTAAGAAATAGGTGGACGGTGATCACTCTCGGTTACATGTCCCAAGAAGTCATCTGTAAAGAATGAGTCATCTGAATGATCAAAATCGTCAGAGGCATCAGAGTAAGCCTGGATTAATGGCATCTGGGGGTTTTTCCTGGAAGAGAAGACATGGTTATTTTCAGTATCTGCCGCCTGAATTTGAGAATTAAAAATGAGTTTTGATATGGATGTGGGGTCCTCGGTTTTTAATACACTCCTGTGTTGAAGAGATATTGAGTCGTCCTGCACTGTCTTTGTGTGTCCTACAAAATTAGAAAAAATATTAAGGAATTTAAATAGGCTCGAATTATGGGATCCCATAGGTATCTGAATAAAGCTCCCCACATATTTCGCCATTTTGATATAGTAGCCCGATCTA